TTTCAAAATGTACGAACGATACACGCCACGAAAATGTGTAATAATAATAATAAGAAGAAGAAGAAGCATCGAGAGATCATTCCTATTTCGATTCCGAGGAGGAATAAACGCGGATCGAGAGGGAAACGAGACGAAGAGGTGGAATTCTTAACGTTTGGTATCTCGCAAAATTCCGATATCCGGCCGCCCCTTCGGCTCGACAGCCCCTCGAGTGGCAAAGGGAGGGAAAGGAATAAAAAAAACGAGGAGCCATTGGAATCGGCTCTACGCCACTGGTCGTAGAGAACGTTGAAAGAGGGAAAGAGAGTGGAGCGAGGGCGGCTAACAATGGCCGCCAACCAAAACATCCGATAAATCTAACCGGCCTGGACCTCAAGCCCCGAGGGGTTTTAAACTCTCTCACCCTCCCTCCCCTCCCCCTACCCTCCAAAGCACCGTCGACGCGGGCGCAACCCTTACATTACGCTACACCGTGCCGGAAAAGGGAGCACAGTGTGCCGTGTGCCATTGCAGGATTCAGGGTTTCAGGGTGGCGAAGGAGGAGGAGGAGAGGGTTAGCACCGCGACGAGGGGATTGATGCGATTCACGAAAAACCAAACAGAGAGTATTCCATCCCGATTCACCCTTCCGCCCTTTTACATCTTTCTCTCTCGACCAACAATCCACCCACCCCGACAAGAACGGTAACGAGATCTCCCGTGAGCGAGCGGTCAAGTAGGTTTTCGACGGAATCTCGACGAATTTGTCGTACGAGACCGCGTACAATTTATTCGACAATTTATCCGCTCGCACGCTGACATTCGAAATTCCACCGTGTGCGGGGCGGTTCCACCGTTTCTTTCTTCGTGGGCTATATTTATTTCGGAAGGGAGATTTAACCGTCGCTTAAATTTTTCGGCGACCCAGTTCGAATATATAATATAACCAAATATCGTCGCTTAACGGCACGAATGGTACAAAAAAAAAAAAAAAAAAAGAAAGGAGAAGAAAAGAAAACAAGAGGAATATTTCCCACGTTCGTCGAAATCCATATCTATTTTTCTAAGAAGAAAGAACGACGATTCGAAAATTGATGCGTATCGAAGAGTCGTTAAGTCCTTATCCATTATCGATATAAACAAAATAAACGAGGTATTCGTCGATGTTACGAGGCGAGAAATTCCGAGAAATAGAAGGAAACGAAAATAAGAACGACGCACGAAACGAGTTTTGTTTTGATACGCGTTAATCCCCCCTACTCGTATTCGGCGCAATAACAGCAGACGCCTCAGTCGATTGTCGTCGATCGAGTAAACGGTGTCGCGAAAATTTCGCTCGTGGAATCCAACGGCCAAGAGGGAATAGTTTCATTCGAAGACGAAGAGACGCGATTTAACGAAACTGAAAATAACAGAGACGTCGGCGGGGTCCACGGAACGTGCCGGCTGGTAATGGATCGGCCGACGAAAATATATAGCGGAGGATAACGTGGACGCGCTAATGCTGTCGTCGGTGAAGAAACTCGATTCTCGTTCGCGAAATAGTGGACGAGTATCGGGGAGTTAAGCGACGCCTGGAATCCCGCGCTATTCCTCGCCAGTCATACATAATCAGCTTTCGCGGAGTTTGCGTCTGGGATCTTTCTCTCTCTCTCTCTTCTACTCTGGTTGAACGGCGAGCCACGTTTCCGTGTCGAAGAATGTCGATGGCTTTTAAACTACGTGCGTTTAAGCGCGCGCACGCACCGCCATCACCGTGGTTTTTCAACGGCTGTCCACGTTCGTCTTCGCTCCAAGTGTGGAAATTCAAAGTGGGCACCAAGAGGCACTTTCGCGCGAATTTACCGGGAACGTTTCCATTAGTTTCGAATGCTTGGTTCGTGTAGAAAGGTGAGAATTCTCGGAAATTCGCTCCGTCTCGAAGTGCGAAGTGCGAAGAAAGGGAGATGCGGGCGATGCGGAGGGAACAGCAGGAGTGGAAACGGCGTTTCGAAAATTTCGAATCGGTGAAAAGAGAGTCGGTGTGGAAGAGGGAGGGAGGGAGGGGGGAAGGGCGTAAATTGCAATCGTTGGCGGCGGTTCTATTAACGAGCTGCTAGGAAATAGTCATTATTAATAACCGGTCGCATCCTGCAACAAAATTTATCCCGCGCTTCCGGTCGGTCGTTTAATTCAGTCACCGATATCGGTTGCATTCAAAAACCGTGCGCGGTCCAGCGCGATCTACCCGTGCAGCGAGACCCTTTCCGCGGGGTGGGGAGGGAAAGATTATGAACGCATAAATCAAAAATTAGCATTAACGATTCATTATTAACAGTCGAGCTGCACGGCCGAGATAAAATTTATCCCCCGTTTCCGTATTTCGATTAATTAATGCGAGCCCCCGTAACGCTTTTTAAACGA